GGAAGATTAGTTATAAAGATCCTGCATATTTCTAGTGTGTTTTAAGGATAATTCCTTCAACAAATATGCATGCAATAGTTTCATTAAAATTTGTATTTTGAACAAAGTTGATTATCATATTCAGATTTGGAACTACTTGGATCTTTTATTTAAATACCTGTCCTGGCAGGGAAATTTCAGTGTCATAACTGCTTCAGACTGCAGCAGCTATGATAACTGAACCAATGGTATTTAGAAACAGAATCAGAATGTTTTAAAAAAAGTATATGTTCTAGTGAGAATTGAAAATAATGTATTTTCTGGTGATAATATTAGAAATAGAAAGGACTCAGTGCCTGTGAGAGAATCCACAAAATGAACTTGCCAGCATCAAAGGACAATGTGTTTATGATAAGAAAACTCATCTATTTGACTCAATTTTTCTAACATGCCCAATGACTCAAGATTTCCAACTCACATTTTCTTTAAATTGAACCCGGGAACCCACTGAATTCAATGTACATATTAGTGGCATGAATTTAATGCCTAAAAAGGAGGTGTGCAGATACTTAGAACTTGAAAAATTTTTGTTCTGGTATGGATTGTATAGAAAATTCTAAACAAATCACTTCAGGGTTTTTTTTCCTATGTTTGCTAATAAGGATAATTTCTCTTTTTCAAGATTCACATGGTTCTTTTACTAGATCAGAACTACACTTTGTCCAGTGAAAGCTGATTAAACTAGCCTTACTGAAGTTGGAAAACTAGAAGATAATTATACATCAAGATTTAAAATGGACTAGGAGCATTTGGAATTTAGTTACAGCTGCTCTTACCTGACTAAGATAACTTTATGTTAAAGTAATCACTTGAAAAGATTTTAAATGAGAAAGTAGCTGTTCAAAGAAAGGAAATTACATTTGTATTTTAATAAATAATTTCATGTTGTTTTAGCAGAGACTGTGATGCAGTCTTCAGATATCACAAACGTATTTGACCTTGTTTCTTGGTAGTGGGTTAATACAAGCACAATAGGAGTAATCCCCTTTAAATCAGTCAGGAGGAGGTAGATTTATATGGGCATGAGGTAAACAAGGATAGAATTGAGAGACATTACAATGAGGTTTTGCCATACTGACTGTTGAAAATTTGATCTTCCTACACTTGGCAATATTTTTATTGGAGTATAGGAGAATTTTCTCCACCCCTTCAGTTTGCAAAGTCGTTTGTGTGCTTGTATATTTCCGTGCAGTATAGGTATATGAAGAGTTCTGCACCTGCTCTGTGCATATGTGAATTTAAGTACAGAGGCAATTAAGAACTAATAAAAAGGGGTATTTCCATGATACCTCTAAGGTAAGGGTTTTTTAAATACTGCCTTTTAAAGCATTCTTAGGTGTTCAAAGTTGCTATGTCAACTCTTGGCAACATCACATGTATTTTTTAACACCATTCCTAAAATAATGCAATGGTGTTCTGCTCAGAGAGCAAACTGTGCTGGTCTGTTTTGTCCTTAACTCTGTCATATACTTGTAATCTGAAGAAAGCATTCAGTCTTTTTCTTCATTCTGGAGGTCATCTCTATCCACGTGAATAACAAAAAGGTGATCAGGAGTAGTCAGCATGGATTCACTAAAGGTAAATTATGCTTGACCAACCCAATTGCCGATGAAACAACTACCTGGATGGATGAGGAAGAACAGTAGATATTGTTTACCTCTACTTCAGCAAGGCTTTTGACACTGTCTCTCACAACGTCCTCATAGGCAAACTCATGAATGTGGACTTGATGAGTGGACAGTGAGGTTGATTGAGAACTGGCTAAATGGCAGATCCCAGAGGGTTGTGATCAATTGTACAGGGTCTAGCTGGAGGCCTGTCACTAGTGATGAGGTTCAATACTGGACTGGGCCCAGTATTTTATTATTTGTTCATCCATGACTTGGAGGAAGGGGCAGATGCCTCCTCAGCAAGTTCACTGATGACACAAAGCTGGGAGGAGTGGCCAATACCCCAGAGAGCTGTGCAGCCCTTCACAAGGACCTCAACAAGTTGGAGAGATGGGCAGAGAACAACTGTCTGAAATTCAGCAAGGACAAGTGCAGGGTCCTGCACCCGCGGAAGAATAACCCAGTACAGGCTAGGAGCTGACCTGCTGGAAAACAGCTCTGCAGAGAAGGATTTGGGGGTCCTGGTGGACAACAAGCTGTCCATGAGCCAGCAGTGGGTCCTTGTGGCCAGGAAGCTCAATGGTATCCTGGGGTACAGTAGGAAGAGCACTGCCAGCAGGTTGAGGGAGGGGATCCTGCCCCTCTACTCAACCCTGGTGAGGCCTCACCTGCAGTGCTGTGTCCAGTTCAGAGCTCCTCATTGCAAGAGAGACATGGGGCTCCTAGAGTGGGTTCAGCAGAGAGTGACAAAGATGGTTAAGGGACTGGAGCTTCTCACAAGGAAAGGCTGAGGGAGCTGGGCCTGTTCAACCTGGAGAAGAGACAAGTCAGAAAAGACCTCATCAATGTATACAAGTATCTGAAGAGAGGGTGCCAAGAGGATGGATTCAGGCTTTTCTCAGTGGTGCTGAGCTGTAGGGCCAGAGGCAATGGGCAGAAACTGATGTACAGGAAGTTCTACCTGAATACAAGGAAGAAATTCTTTACTGTGCAAGTGACTATGCACAGGAACAGATTGCCCAGAGAAAGTGGGAAGTCTCCCTCACTGAGGATATTAAAGAACTGTCTGGATGCAATGCTGTGCAATGTGCTTTAGGATGACTCTGCATGGGCAGGGAGGTGGGACCAGATGATCCACTGTGGTCCCGTCCAACCTGATCCATTCTGTGATTCTGTGATTTTAGGTATTTATTTATTAATCTTGCGTGTCTTCAGTTTATGCACCAGCAGAGTCAAGGTTGCACATCTGTTTCTCGCAAAGCTGTGCCCTGTGGCACAGATACCTAATACCACAGGCATAGTGAATTACAGGAAGAGATGCAAGTGATAAACAGCTGTAAGTATCGAGTCCTACACAGAAAACAGTGCAAGAGGTAGCCTTATTTTTAATGTATTTTCACATTTGTTGATGACTGTACCTAATTTCTTAATTTCTTCTTTTTGCTCCAATAGAACAGTGAAATGGACACCACAATGCAATTTTGCTTCACCAATAGGATCAAAATATTAAGAACATTCTAAAAAAGTGTTGAATTTGAGGTTGGGGAAAACCAATTAATTTTGCCACATTTTATCTAAATATCTGAAAATGGGGATTATAAAGTTAAGAAGAGCAATGACTGTTTAAAATGTTTTATTACAACATTTAGTATTGGATTGGCTTGTGAAACATCTAATTATCTTTCTACTCTGTTCTTAGGAGATTCTTAGGAATGAAAATTATAGAGAAGAAATGAAACAGAAAATAAAAGATGTATCTGAAAAGGATAAGCTGCTTCAGTCCAAGGAATACAAGGAGGGACTTGTTGCTGAACCAGGCCATACTCAGGTTAAAGGTCATGCATCTGCCCCTTACTATGGAAAGAAGGAGCCTTCGGAAGATCCTACAAGCACTGCAAATACCTTCCAGCCTGGTGCCTGGATGCCACCAGGCAGTGGTAGTAGTCAAAATAAATGAACAATTGTGTTGTACAGATATTGCTCATGGATAAATGTTTTAACAGACAACATAAAGAGCTTTACATGAAAGTGTGCAATGAAGTGGTATTAAAGCAGTTTAATTTACTTTTGCAGAACTATTCAAATGGGCTTAATCACGAAAAACTGATGTAAAATGTTTGGGTTTAGTGAAAAACAAGATGTGTTACTAAGTTTGGTTTTGACAGTTGCTGTTCATCATTTAGTCTTGAATTCAGTTAGAATGTTGTCTAACTTAATTTCCCTAAATAAGTCTAAATTGTTTTTTCCTTGAATACTAATTTATTTTTAAAATTGGTTTTGATGTAATGGTCGGTACGCTTACATTTTTCCAAACCTTGGCCAAGATATCTCTTTACAATAACTCCCTTGTCAGTGCCAGTCTGTTCTCCACTGGCAAGCAGATGGAAAAGCTGATTTCACTGACAGGAATCACTATGACACGACACTGATTACACACTGTATTCATCATAGAGACGTTCTTGTAACTTAAAGAAAACAGTCAACATATCTGAATGTTTGATTTTAAGCCAGCAATTTGCACAGGATAAAATCAGTTAAACTACATATAGCTGCTATAATAGAGGCTGGAAGTACTTGATAAAGCTGCCGCAAAATAATACAAGGTTTGGGACAAGGGACTGTCATGAATATTTAAAGAAAAAAAATAAAATTAGTTTTTATTTCTGGTGTCTCCATGGACTTCCCTGAATGATTAGATCATTTTGGCCACAGTTTAGATACATAAAATGTATGGATTATTTGCTTAGAGAGGATGTTTGAGAACTTCAAATAAAAATAAAGACCACACAATTTTTTTTCAAAAAGTATCAAATTTATTTATGGAGTTTATCCCTCATCACTTCTCCTCCCTGTGTTTCAAGCCGTGTAGGTATCAAAGGTGGAACACACATATATTTGACAACACTTCATACAAAACATGGAGACATAATCTCACATATTTATAAAATGCCCAAATGTCATATTCTAATAATGCTTGCTTTCACCAACAAAATTGAAAGGGGATCAACTTCACATTTACTTTAAGTAATTTCAGTTAGATTCCCCACTTCTGATCCCCCTTGGTGTCAGCGAGGTCTATAGGTCTATTCATTTGAACAATGGTACTACTTTAAGGTTTTATTTTTAAACATAATCAAAGACTATCTCCTGAAATGCACAACTCTGTGCTGCTTGTTTAGATATACGCAAAATAGAAAAACTTAATGACTGCCACAAGGTCTTTTGAACTAGACCGTGTAGAGGCCTTTGAAAATTTAATCTGTTCTGTTAAGAAACATAAATTGGAAATAAGGTTAAATAATTTTGGCATGTTTCCTACACAAACCCTTTTTTTTTTTCTTCCAGTATACCAGCATTTTGCAACCTGTAAGGCAGCAGAGTTTCAAGGGCTATGAGAACAAGAATTCCACCTAAACTCAAAGGTCCTAGATCAAAGGTAGCCAGGTCAGAAAGTAGGAAGAACTACTGTCACCAGCATGTGCACTGTCCTCCCACAGCCATGTGCTACAGGTCACTAGGACATAGAACACTAGGCCAGCTGGGTCTTTGGTGTCACCCCGTTTATGGCTATTCTTTGAGGCGTGAAGAATTTATGAAGGCAGAAACAAATTAGTTACAGGTGATTGTTAGGAAAGACCAAACAACATAGTACTGAATTTTGTAGAACATGATGAGTGCCTTAAGACAAATGAAGCTAACAAGAACAAGCAATCAGTTTCCTAGAGTTTGGGCTGAATTTAAAGGCTGTTCGTGGCTGGTAGTTCAGGAAACAGGAAGAGCTAAGGTAGGTTATTTTTGCAGGGAAGCCCCACCATCAAAGACACTGCAGCAGCCATTACAGGCACACGCAGCCATATACAGTGTCCTTAAAGGAAATCAGTCATCTCTGCTATCTAATTAAGCTACAGTTATCTCTACGACTCTGCTGAAGGTATGCCAAAACATGCATTTCTGTAATCCAGTTTATTATTCACATTTTCCCCTAAATTTGACAACTTTAAGACACTTGTTAAGTCATAGCTCAGCTAAGGGGAAAAACAAATTACCTCCAGAGTCACGCAACACGGTAATTTTTTAACATAACATGAAAATTTAGAAAAGCAACCTGCACTAGAAACCACAAGTAGTAGATTTAGTAAGTGTCACTTGGGCAAATTTGAACACAAATCATCAGGAAAAAAAATACACTCAAAGTATTAAATTTCATACTTCAAGAAATAACAGGATCAAGTATCAAAGGACAGTTACAACACAAAACATACAAGTGTTTCATTTAAAAAGTGGATTCTTTGCGCACGGCAGGTCATTTTTGCCCATTTAATCCTTCTTTGTTCGTTTGGCTTTTGCAATGTTCTCTTGGCGTTTCTGTTTCTTCTTTTGCTCTCGCTCCCTGGCCTCAATCATTTTTGCAAGCTTCCATGAAAGTGCTGCACTGATCACGAACAACGGCGTAAGGGCCAAGATCACCGTGGTAAGAAAGCCATAGGGGTCCTTTGCAGCCCACTCCACGATGTACTCAGCCCAAGCCTTAATATCGAACATCTTTTCTGTTCTTCTATTGGGAAAACCCCGTGGAATAATAAAAAAAAATAATTTCTGAGTACTCAGAAAAATAAAGGCACACATACATGAAAACAAAACATAAGAAGTTCTACCTCTACATGAGGAAGACTATTTCTGCATTGAGGATGGCAGAGCACCGGAACAGGCTGCCCAGGGAGGTCGTGGAGTCTCCTTCTCTGGAGACATTCAAAACCCAACTGGACGTGTTCCAGGTGACCCTGCTTTGGCAGGGTCGTTAGAATGGATGATCTCCAGAGGTCCCTTCCAACCCTAACAATTCTGTGATCCCTAACAATTCTCTGATAGCAAATACCGTTTTAATACAAATTGTCATCAAAGAGCAAGCCCATTTTTGCTAGAAGTTAAAAGTAGTGCATGGTATGTGAAAGCGTAACACAAAGCACTAACTACACCTTAAAGTTCAGCGTTTATAAAGAATTAGGCATTCCATCCAATAGAGCTGCAGATACTACCAAGAATAAATTGCTAAATCGAAAAAAAGAGTACGGTCTGTGGTTCTCTGGAAAAGAAGGAAAGCCAGCCCGGTTGGTTTCTCTCTCCATAGGTTTCACTAGGGACGGCAGGGAGCCCGGGCAGCACTTCAGACACTGAGCTGGCGGTAGCCGGGAGAACAGAAACCCGGCGGCGGTGTCGGCTCCACCGCGTCTCCCCTGCGAACGACTGGACCGACCCCTCCCTCCCTCCCGCCGCTCCCCTCGCCCTGTCCTGGCCGGCTCCACCTCACCTGGGCCCAGGGCACGCTCCGGGCCTGCCGAGCGGCGCAAGGGCGGCGCCGAGGTCCCTACAGAAAGAACACACGGGCCGTGAGCGGGAGGCGACACGCCAGCAGCGGTGCCGCGCCCCACCCTCCCTCCTCCGGCCCCCGCGATACCGCGGCCCTGGACGTCTCCGGGGTTCCGAGCGGAAACAGGAAAGAGGCAGCTGAGCCGCCCCGCCCAGGCCGGGCGGGAGTGGGGTAACAGAGCCCGCCCGCGGCGTGGATAGGACGGCCCCGCGGCGGGGATAGGACGGCCCCGCGGCGTGGATAGGACGGCCCGGCGGGGATTCGGGGACGGCCCCGAGGCGGGTAGGACGGCCCGCGGCGTGGCTGGACGGCGCGGCGGGGATAGGACGGCCCGCGTCGGGGCTTTTTGGGCGATAGGACGGCCCCGCGGCGGGGATAGGACGGCCCCGCGGCGGGGATAGGACGGCCCCGCGGCGGGGATAGGACGGCCCCGCGGCGGGGATAGGACGGCCCCGCGGCGGGGATAGGACGGCCCCGCGGCGGGGATAGGACGGCCCCGCGGCGGGGATAGGACGGCCCCGCGGCGTTCCGCCCTCCCGAGATCTGCGCGGTGCCGCCTCACGGGCACCGGCCAGGGCGAGGAACGGAGTGCGGAGGAGGGAGTCATCACTGCTTTGGGAAAAGGCTTTACGCTGGGAAAAAGGCATTCCAGAGGTACCCGGATGGGTAGTTCACGTTTGTGGAATAGTCTTTAGAGGCTGGAGTGCCGCTCGCCCCCAGGGAAGCCTGGCAGCGGCCGGTCGGGACGGGGTATCCTCCGAGAACGGCGGTGTGCTGCCGCTCGGGTGCGTGGCACGATCGGGATCAGACCGGAGGGAACTTGTGCCAGTACCTCGGCGGTATACCCCCAGTATGTCGTGCATCTTTTGAGAGCCCTGACCCTCCGGCGGGCGCACAGTGCTGTCCTCGGGGGTACCAGCCATGCATGAGCTGCTGTGGCTGTTGCGCTGATCCCCACTGAACTCACCTCAGCGAAAATAATTCGGTTGATCTCCGAATATTCTGAGCCTTTAATATGCTCATACTGAAAATGTAATCAAATTCAAAAATCTCGTATTTGCCTTTGTGTGTTGCACCAAGTCTTCTTCCTTTCACACATACACTGATGTGAATAAAAACGTCGTTACGTTTTCGAAGCAAGAAAAAGGAGCTTATTCGCTTACTATATGAGAGGATCTTGCAGTCACCCAAATTGTATTGATCAATTCTGGAGCTCCTTTCTCTGTAACGTACTAACAAATACCACCGGGGCATTCTGGTTTTGTAAATCTTTACATCAATATTTATATTATTTAAAGGGCAACAAACAGTTAAATAAAAATATATTTTGTCAATGAGTCATTGACAAGTGTCATGAAAGAGATGCACCACCACAACATGAAATCATAAAATTGCTTTAGTGTCCGTATGTTGAATGCAGTTTTGTGATATATGCAAAATTACATTATTGCATTCTTGTTCAAAACCTGTCTGTTGTGTTCTGGCTCTTGTAATATCTTTTGAGGATAGGATAGGATAGGATAGGATACGATACGATAGGATAGGATAGGATTGGATCCTTCAGTTCAAAGGCATCTACAATGATCATCTTGTCCAACTGCCTAATTGCTTTAGGGCTGAATAAAAACTACAGGATATTGTTATAAGAACTGCACCCTGAGGAACACTGCTGGTGGCTGGTCACCAACCAGCTCTAATCCCAGTCACTACACCCCTCTGAGCTCTGCCCTTCAGCCAGTTCTTCACCCAGCCCACCATGAACCTGCTCATCTCGCAGCTGGACATCGTGTCCCAAAGGATGCTGTGAGGGGCACTATCAGAAGCCTTAATCCAGGCTTAATCCATTAGGAATCCTTAATCCTTCCTAAAATCCAGGAAAATAACATCCACCTCCTTCCCTTCATCCACTAGACAGGTGACCTTGTCATAGGCGGCTATCAAATCAGTTAAACAGGACTTTCCCATTGTGAACCTGTGTAGACTGTGCACTTAAAGAATAATGATTGCATTATTCTTTAAGTGCCTTTCAACAGCACCCGGTGTGATCTTCTCCATAATTTTTCCAGGTACTAAGTTTAGACTAACAAGTCTTCCTGGGTCTTCCCTCATGCCCTTTTTGTTAATGGGAATAACGCTGACTATCTTCCAGTCAGCAGGGACCTCCAAAGACCCCAAGACCTTTGGTAGATATCTGTATATGTATCTCTGTACCTGTGTTACTCAGCCATTTAGGTGAGCATTAAAACCCTTAAAAGAAGTTATGGGTCCCTGTTTGGTCTGTAGTTTGTAAATCTTAACAAAACATAACAACCCAAATTTATTGGACTTAAGATATTAGTTTGGAGATGTTGTATTTAATGATATCATTGTAAGAAGTTTTTGCATGCTGTGTAGCTAAGTTAGAAGTAGGTAGGCTATTACATAAGTATATCCTGTTTCTGGTGAAATTACGTATTGGGCTAGAGGGGACATAGTTACATTTCTGATGCTTGAATGTCAAATTCAGATACACATTCCAAAATAAGCACAGACTTAGTCAACAACTATATACAATCTGTTTAATATTACCATCTTTAGATCTGCTGCAAAGTTAATTTCCAGTACCAGTCTTTCACACAATAGTAATTGTCTCATCTGTCTGTCTTTCAATGTCTTCTCTGCCTTAGTGATTTAAAGATGAAAGTGCCTGATTGATTGTGGCAGGGAAGAAATAAAAGGTAGGGATTTTTAATTCGCTTTTCCTAGAAAACAGATCTTATATAATTACCTCTCCTGCTGTCCTTCTCCAGCTAATATCTTGTGAAGCTGTTGACTGGTTATGTTGGCAAAGTAGTAGAAGTCTCATACATAACAATTCTGCTCCTATAATATCTGTGAAAACAGAGGGCTAGGAAAAGAAGACGGTCCCGGGCTACCACCTTGACTGAAAGCAGCAGTACATCTTTATTAGGAATGAAGAGATGTTATGGAAATACTACCTGATGGGGAGGATTACTTTATGGCTTGCCCTCTACCAAATTCAGAGTAATTCAACCACAAGGCCATGGGAGATGAGGATACTTGTTTTGGTTTTCTGAGTTACTCAATTGTACTTTAAGTAGTCAAAGAGAGAACAGAAATTCCGGAATTCCCTACAGCTTGCACAAAGCAGCACAACCCTTAGCATGCCATCAGAGTACTTTAAAAGACCACGTTAGGCATGTATTTGTGTTAACCACAATTTTGTCACTGAGCTGCTACTTTGCAAATCTGCACTTTCTTTTACATCTCATCTAGAATTCCTTTAAATGCCCCTGTTCTGCTATTTATAGCTATGTGTGTGCCTGTGCGTATTTTAAGATTCATTAATTTTGTATATGTCAGGGAAGGATCCACTGATGAAAGATCACAAAGAGGAAGTGGGCAGATAAATGGAAACAGCACTCCAAAAATCAAGCAATAATAAAGATACAATGCAGAGAATTGTGAATATAATAATGCTGTGAATATAATACAGGCATGGAAAATGGGAGAGTTACTTGCAAGAAAGCAAGTCTTTCTCATGCCAGCAGAGACTGAAGGGTCTGTAAATGTTTGATTCTGTGTGGTGAAGGCAAGCTTTGAGGAAATGTATTCATTTCACTCAGATGCGTTGACATGTATCAGTAGTCCAGAATAATTCTGTATAAGGAATGAATTCTGTATAAGCATGAATTCTCCAGTAATCTTTATGTGTACTTGTTAATGTCCTGGGCATGTCCTGAACTCCACTTGCTGGAGTTCCCTTTTTCTTTAGGAGGTAGGTGGAATTCTTTGCTGTTGCAAAATGGAGGGGTTTTTAGGAGGTTTGAAAGGTAAAAAGATGATTTTTTTTTTCCTCCAGCCTGTGAAAGCTTTATTGGCCCTTTTTTTGACCATCTATGATATATTCACAGAATGTGGCAGCCAGTAACATTCTGGGTTTTACAGGTGTACTTGATTCAACAAAACTCCTTTGCAGCATTGGGGATTAAGGATTCTTTTTCTGCTACAAATCTTTATTTAAGAACATTGGTGTTTCATGTTGAAGTGGATGTGCAGTATATCTTTATTCTGTAAATTGCATGATCAACCCCAAGCATGATTCAGACCCCAAGGTCTGAATATCCAAGGCAAAAGTAGTCAAAATCATGATTAATACTGCTACTGTACTTAAATTCACTGCAAACCACCCTTATAAATTGTTCTGCTCCTATATGTTTTCAAAAACAGAGCACGTATTGGGACAGTGCATGACCCACAGGTTGAGTAATGTGCTACATGCTTCCATGTCTTGACAATATGGTAGAACATAGAAGTACATTTGTCCAGTATTTGATTAAAGAATGATCAAATACTTCTGTGCTCTAGGTGGATTCATTTATGTAATAGCATTGATTTTACTACTCTTATAATGAATTATATAATTGAAGAACTTAAGTGTGTTAGGCCTTACTCTAGCCTTCATTTGTTCCTATTTTTGGTCTTACTACAGTTTAAAATGTATTAGGTTGCCTATCTTTGCCAATGCCAGGTCCACTCCTAAGTTTCAAACATTCAGAGTATTAGAGCAGGCATCACTAAGAAAAAACAACCAACTAAACTTGTGTAACTTGGATTGTCACTGAATGCAGTGGTATACATCTGAATTGTTTAGAAGCAGCTCGGTAGTCTAGCTTACAAACCTCAGACAACTGAAAGCTACCGTCAGGATGTTTCACCACTGCAACAAAATCAGGTGCTATTTCCTTAATTGTGTCTCCATTCTGAGGCAATACAGATTCAAATGCTCATCCAACTTTTCTTTCTCCAGGTAGTAGAAATTCTGTAGAAGAGATCAAGTATGCTTTTAAAGACAGAAGCATTCCTTGCTCTGCTGCATGCTTTTTAAGAACTGTGCCCACAGGACTACCATGGGAATTTATTCTGTACCCTCCAAAGTATCATGGCCATACCTAGCAGGAAGCAGCAAGGGCAACCACTCTGTATAGAAAGGCAAGCCAGGGGCAAAGGCTGGCAGGATTGTGGCCTCACTGACAAGGGCACAGTCCCACAGTACTGAAGCACAAAGAGCAAAGCAAGTCTGGTGATCGCAACGAGGCTCAGATAACAGTCCAGACAACCAGGCAAGCCTGTAGTGATGAGACAGGTCCAAGATCAAGCCACAATGTCAAGTGAGCAGGTCAGGATCAGAGTCAAGAGCCAGGAAGGTGGAA